CGATCCAGATACAGATATGCCATCTGATAATTGTCTTCTTCAGTCACAATTCGGTCATGCTTTACAGCTAAGACCCTATTAATTTGAACTAATTTCTTATTAATTCTTTTGACAAATTCCTGAGTAGCATTTTCTCCTCTATATAGGAATGGGCTCCATACCTTTCCAGTATCGATCCAATGAACCAAGTAGCAAAAGCTATTGGCCTTTTGTTCAGCAAGCTTTTGCATTTGCCCTCCATATTTCTCATTGCATTTCTTATTATCAGCCTCAAAGTCAGCTATAATAACATATAGAGCATTGATTATTCGTCCATAGTTCTTAACTTCTCAAAGTCATTAACATCCTTGGTAGGTAATTTGACTTCTTGAGTTGCTTCTCCTAAACCGAAACAGTGATTTTGATGATATGCTAGAGACTTTTCTGATGGCCAGCTTATAGTACATTTTTTACAAATATATCTTTTACTATGATGTGCAGTATCTCTATAAGCTAGCCTATTTATATTTTTAATCTAAAGAAAGTAGTTTTTTTGTCCATATTTATCTTCTTCAGATTTAGTAATATCTGTAAGAGCCATAAGGTCAATAATATGTTGTCTATTATAGTTCTTGCTAGCTATTACAGGTTTGAGAGTAGCTGATTTTTCTTTCCATCCCCAGACATTAATAGAGATATCAGGATTCATCTCTTCTATCTTATTGAATATACGTGGACAAATTGGTGTAGGCATTAGAATTCCATCTAAATTGACTATATCCAAGTATTGGTTATAATCTTTTTTAGTAAATATTCGTTCAAGATGTTCTGTATATCCATCTTTATGAGCAAAATAACAAGCTAATGTGCTTTGAAGACAATTATCAGATGGCATATCTGTATCTGGATCGATTATTTTTGAATTATCAGGATTGATTGTATATTTGATATTGGCGAGCTTTTTGGGAGTAGGGATATATGATCCACCAGTTGTTCTTTGATAAATATAAGCTTCAATAGTTAACATTTCAATCCTTACCAAATTCATTCCTGATCCTTCTTGCATAAATGAGTCTATAGCATTATCTATTTCTGATATATATGTTCATTAATATCTTCTTCTGTAAGAATAACACGCATGAGGCTTCTGTGATAAGCAATTATAAATAATGGACTTTTAAGTTTGCCCTAATATGCCCAGAATATATACATTGAGCAATTAATGCAGTTTTTATTTGATCTTTTTTTATGCAATTTAGCTTTAAGAACTCTTGTAATTTGTTCTCTTGTATTTGCTATAAGCTGGGGCATATATGGGGTTTCTAAATATTTATTGGGGTTCTCGACATAACAATTGAATCTATATTTTATATTTTTGGGATTGCTTGCCATAAACTCATTGCTGTTAAGTTCTGATGAGGTCTTAAAGGATCTAAATTAGATTCACATTCTTTGAATATTAACTCTTTGTTCGTTAGTCTATAGTTTTTTCTTACTGGTTTATTACCAAAATTACCTTCTATCTTTATGATATTTTTTTTTGAATAGTCATAGAGCAAGGTTTCAGCTAATTCAGACCATTTTTTATCAGTGTTTATATTATATTTATCTTTCATATTATCAAACCATTCTGTATCATTTTGAGGTAAATTCGAAGAAACATTGTCTGAAGATATATTTTGAATAGATGAAGAAGGTGTGCTATCCAATTGGATTAAATCATCTACTGGAACATAGGTTTGAGTTGGAATTTGATTTGTAGCAGGATTTTGTAGTAATACTATTGGAGTTGTAATAGGATTTAGAATTTTAAGTATACATGAAAATTTACGATTTAAGTGTGCATCTCGATCTCGAGTCTTTTTGAAATCATCTTTTCCACACCTAGGACATGGAGGTATCATTTTGTATATAGGTGCTGGTATTCTGTTATTTGTATTAATATACCAGATCTTTTGTTTAAATTGAAATTTTCATATTTATATACCATGATAGGTGAATATACTTGTGATTATTTACTCAGAATAGGAGTTATTTGTAGACGTACTTGTCATAGACCTGAAGGATGCCATGAACATTGGAAGGCTAGAAAGCATTTTCCTTGTAAAGTTTGTAGCAAACCAACTAGTGCTGAGCCTAGAACATATAAAAAACATGCTAAAGGGTATTATGTTATGAAATGTTTAGATAAGAAGAAAGGCTTATAATAGTATTAGATGTGTTGATATTGAATAACGTGGAATTTATTTTTTAGTCGTCATCTAATTTAGCTATATAAATAAAAAATAGAGGATTCTAGCTATATAAAAATTTACACTACATTTTTTTATATAGGTGAAAAAAAAAATTATAGAATAAAGGCTTGCAAGGGCATGAAAACAACAAGATGACTACTTTAGTACCCGAGATGTAGAAAAAGTGGACCAGAACTCCCAAAATTGCACTACTCTAGTCAGAGACTATATAAACTTAGATTTTAAAAAATAATATAAATATCTACAGATTACAGAATCTATCTGTTTAAAGTAATCTATAGATTATTTATATTATGCTTTTAAAAACTCTGGTTTTTTTTTTAGAATATACAGAACAAGTTTTACAACAATGAGGAATTGTATTTGAATATTGTGACTGGGATATATAAATTTCAAGTAATTGTAGAATCTCGATTTTTATTAATTTCTACACAATTTACTACAGAATATTATAAAAATTAAACAAATTTTTCATATATCATGCAAGAACAATTTTGGCTTTTCCTCTAATATGAATATTAATATTACCCTCCTTATTTTGATTAATTTCAACAGAATCTTGATTCTTTACGTTTCTAAGTAAAATAACTGCTAAATATTATATATATTATTAAAAAAAATGTATAAATTAAAATAATTTACCTAACCCTGGTTCATTATTTTGGGCTTTTTGAAATACATAATAGTAATTTACTGATAAATTCTTCAAAACTTCTTTACCTCATTGTTGTCTTTAAAATATGATTTATATTAATATTAATATATATATTTCATGATAATGATTATAATATAATGATAAATAATCTTTTAATAGAATATTTGTGCATATTTAGTAACAAAGTTAAAGAGAAAAATACTTTACAGAAGAGTGAAAAAAATTTAATCTGCAGGTTTTTACTCTTTTTTTCATTACATAGTCAATAACTGTATCATATTATCTAATGATGATTACCCAAAGTTACTAATTAATTCTATCAAGATAATGTCTACCAGAGCTATATATTAATTTTACCAAAATTATGCTACCAAACTTACAAATTAATTTTACAAAAATTATGCTTATGAGAGTTACAAATTAATTCTACTGCCAAAATTATGCTTACCAGAGTTACAAATTAATTCTACCAAACTATGTTTACCAAAGTAACTTAATTAATTCTACCAAATTTATGCTTACCAGAGTTATACTAATAAATTTTATCAAGATAATACTTACCAGAGTTACATATTAATTTTACTAAAATTATACTTATCAAAGTTACAAATTAATTCCACCAAAATTAGATTTACTAGAGTTATATATTAACTCTACCAAACTATGTTCACCAGAGTTACTAATTAATTCTATCAAAATTATATTTACCAGATTACGAATTAATTCCACTAAATTTACAATATTATGTTTATCAGAGTTATACTAACTATTCTATTAAGATAATGCTTACTAGAGTTACATAAAATTCTATTTTTTTTTTTTTGGTGTTAAGGTGAGGCTTTGCTCATATCTTTATTAATAATTTTTAAAATAGTTACAATGTAAAT